GTGGAGGTTGCAGTGAGCCGTTATTGAACTACTATACATCAGCCTGGGTGACAGAGTGAGATTTTGTCTCCAAAAAAATAAAATAAATAAAATAAAAATGAAAAATAAGAGTCCTCACCTGCCTCGGAGCTAGATTAGAAATGAGTCACCACCCCAACTACAGCCAGATGTTCACAAATGACAGTCACAATTTCAACTCCATCCACATGTGAGATTCAAGACCTAACCAGTAGGCTCTGGCCATGTGTGAGGGCAAAATCCTAATGGCTGATAGAGTGTGCATATGAAAAACACAATCTCACCTGTGTCCTGGGTCCTGTGATGAGACTGTCTGTACCACCTGAAAAAGTTATATATGTGAGAGACTGGTAATCCACTATGATATTCATACAGAGGAGATCCAGGCTCTTACTCATTTCCCTAAGTCTAGCTTCAAGAAACAGTATCTCTCCTATTGGCTGGTTTGAGGCATGAGAGTTATCATCTCACCCATGAGCTGAACAAGGATATATTTTACAATCCCACCTGTTGATAGAGAGTAAGCAGGAGTGTGACATCTCCTGGGCACTAGGCCAGGAATATGTCACAATTTTCCCTGATGGCAGGAACCAGTCAGAAGAGTAACATCAGCTGGGTGATCAGCCAGGGATATGTTACAATCCTGTTCTGAAAGCAGGGCACAGGCAGCAGAGTCACAGCATCTGGGTGCTGAGCCCAGAGACATGTCACAATGCTCCCTGGGAGCAAGGCCCAGGAAAAGGAAGCACATCACCCTGTTGCCGAGTCAATGTTATTGTCACATTCTCCCCTGTGGGCCAGGTGCAGGCTGTAGAGGAGTCACATCTCCTTGGTGAGGAATACAGAGATATGTCACCAGGGTCTTGAGAGTCATAGGGCTAGAGCCCTGTTTGCAGGGCATAGGCAGGTACCTCCCAAATTCTACATGTTTGGCCCAGTCATATGTCACAGTACTCACATGTAGGACCCATGAAAGAGGAGAGTCACATCACCTAGGTGCTAGGTCCAGTGATACATCACCATCCTACATGTTGGCAGAGACCAGGCAGAAGGAGAAGGCCACATCACCTAAATCATGAATGTAAAAATATATCATAATACCCTTTGGGCAGGACCCATGCAGGAGAGTCACCTTGCTTAGGTATTGGACCCAGCCATATGTCACATGCAGTGTGACAGTAGGTAGCTAGTCTGGTATAAGCAGGGCAAGAAAGGGCGCCCCACTCCACACACATCAGAAATGTCAGGTGGCAATCAGGTAATGGCCAGGCAGTTAACTGTCTCGCTAAAGTAATAATTGGTGACAGCTGTTGCCAGGGAACAGCAGTCTCCTAATAGAAAACACCTAAAACTGGTCATCAGTAGCTTCCCAGTGAGATCTCAGGAGTTGGGTGGGTTAGGAGAACTAATGCAAGACCCCAGAAGTATGCCAACACATAAAATCCCAAGAGAAGAGAGTCACATCATGACAGTAATGGCAACAGAGATATGACACACAATGACCCTGTAGGCAGGGCCCAGGCAGGAGAGTTACATCAACTAGGTGTTGGACCGAGTAAAATGTTACAACGGCGCCTGTGGGCAGGGCACAGGCAGGAGAGTCACATAACCCGGGTGTGCTGCCCAGCAATGTGTCACAATGTCCCCTGTGGAAAGCACCAAGGCAGTAGAGGAGACTCACATCACTTGGGTGCAAGGTCCAGCAATCTGTCAAGATGCTCCTGTGGGAAGTACCAAGGAAAAAGAATAGAGTCACATCACCTAGGTTGGGGTTCAGCAGTATGTCACAATTTCCATCTGCGGGCTGGGTGCAGGCAAGAGTCTAATCATTCAGGTGCTGAGAAGAGGCATATGTCATAATCACACCTGCAAAAAGGTCTAGGGATGAGATTAACAATCTTGCACATGTCCTAGTTCTTGGTAAGAGAGTCAACATCCCCTGTATTTTCTTTCTAAGTATACAAGTCACAATATTAACAGTGGATAGATTCATGCATGAGAGCCTTGATCTCCCCTGTGGACTGCGTACCTGTAGCAGAGTCACAGCCTCACAAATGTGCTAAATCTTGGTCCTGAGTCACCCATCATTCTGTGAATGGAATTTATGTAGGGGAGTCAATTTCCCAACTTTCCACCACCTTCAGATGTGATATTCAGAACCCAAGCAATGAACTGTGTTTATAAAAGATGACAATCTTTGCAATTGGCTGGGTATGTATACAAGTAACACAATCTGACCTGTGTGCTGGGCCCTGTTAAAAACACACTCTGTACCACCCAAGGGCTTTAGAATGTGGCAATCTGTTGGCCAGGTGCAGTGGCTCACACCTGTAATCCCAGCACTTTGGGAGGCCGAGGCAGGTAGATCACGAGGTCAGGAGTTCAAGATCAGCCTGGCCAAGATGGTGAAAGTCCATCTTACTAAAAATACAAAAATTAGCCAGGTGTGGTAGTACACGCCTGTAGTCCCAGCTACTGAGGAGGCTGAAGCAGAATAATTGCTTGAACTGAGGAGGCAGTGGTTTCAGTGAGCCAAGATGATGCCACTACACTCCAGCCTGGGTGACAGAGAGAGAGACTGTCTCAAAAAAATAGTAATAAAAAAACAAAAAAATAAATTTGGTATGAGACCTTCATGCTGGTATGGACCTGTGGACTTAAGAGCAAGTAGAAGAGTTAACATTCCTTCAATTGGGCTGGGTTCAGATATGAGAGTTCTCACCTACCTATGAGCTGGGTTTATAAATGAATCTCAACTGCAGCAGGACGTTGATACATGACAATCGCAATTTCAACTGTAGACCTCATACATGTGTGTAGTTTAGAACCTCACCAGTGGGTGACAATCCTAACAGTTGGCAGGGTGTGCACAGAAAAAACAATCACACCTGTGTGCTGGGCCCTGTAATTACACTGTCTGTAACACTTGAGGGCTTTATAAGGTATGTGAGTGAGTGGTAATTCTTTATGACCTTCATACGAAGAGGAGACGCAGAATTTTACCTATTACCCTAAGCCTAGCTCCAAGAGACAGTATCTCTCCTATTGGCTGACTCAAGTTGCAATAGTTACTATTGCACCTTGATCTGGATCATAAAATATATCACAATATTCCCTGAGGGCAGGCACCAGGCAAGAGAGTCACATCACCTAGGTGCTCGGCCAGATATGCTACAATCCCTTCCTGAAAGCAGGGTACAAGCAGCAGAGTCAAATTATAAAAGTGCTGGGCCCAGCAATATGTCTCAATACCTTCTGTGGGCAGTGCCAAAGCAGGAGGATAGTCATATTACCAAGGTGCTGGGTCCAGTAATATGTCACAATCTCATTTGCAAGCTGGACTCAGGCAGGAAAGGCAAATCACTCAGGTGCTGAGCAGAGGTGTATGTTAAAATCACACCTGCAGGAGGTCCAGGGACGAGACTACCAATCTCACTCCTTTCCTGGTTCTTAGTATGAGAGTCACTGCTCACTGTAGGTTGGGTACAAGTGAAGTAAGAAATTAAGAAAATAACAAAATAATAGCATAAGTAATAATGGTAAAGATTATAGTAATAGACAAATAATAATAGCTCATAGAATGAACTGTTGTATTAACCAAGGCTGAAAAAAATTTACATAGCCCCCCACAAAGTTAAAGTTTAAAAAAAATATTAACTGCCTGTCCCAAAAAACATTAACCATATGTACGCTCCACATATTTTGTAGGGTCTATAGGCTCGTTCCTTTCTTAGCTGCAAGGTCACAAAACAAATAAGCATAAGCTACAAACCAAGTTTTCCCAAAGATGTAAGACATGCTGCAAAAATATCACAGCAGCTTTTGTTCTTGCTTCTGTAAGCCTGCTTCCTGCTTCACATAGTGCCCGCCTCAAAATACTTAAAAGCAACTGAGTTCTTTGTTCGGGGCTCAGACTTTCAGGACACATGTCCACTGAGCCAGTATACACCTTAAACACTTCCTGCCCTTCATTCGATCTCTCTGGTTCCTTAATTTCCCACAACATAAGTACACAAGTCACAATCTCAGTGGTGGACTAGATATGTGTTTGGGAGCCTAAATTTCTCCTGCAGACTTTGTCTCCTCCATGGATTCACGACATCACGGGTGTGCTAAATCTTGGTCTGAAAGTCAGCAACCCACCTGTGGGCTGAATCCACGTATGAGATTCAGCCACGTATGCAGTCAATTTTCCAACTTTCGACTGACTTTGGGTGTGAGATTCAGAATCTCAACAGTGGACTGTGTTCATGTAGAATGGCAACAATCTTTACTGTCTGTTGAATGTACATCTAAATGTCACAATGTCACCTGTGTGCTGAGCTCAGCACTCAGCACTATTCAAGTGTTTCATACAGTATGCATGAGTCACAGTCTTCTTTGCAACCTTTGTGATGATATAGACAAATAATCATACCAATGGTTCTAAGCCTGGATATGCAAGTAAATATGTCTCCAATTGGATAGATCTAGATTGGAGAGTCCTCACCTGCCTGTGTGCTGGGTTTAGAAGTGAGTCACCATTGGCCGGGCGCCTGTAATCCCAGCACTTTGGGAGGCAGAGGCGGGTGGATCACAAAGTCAGGAGTTCGAGACCAGCCTGGCCAACGTGGTGAAACACCATCTCTACTAAAAATACAAAAATTAGCCAGGTGTGGTGACGCGCGCCTGTAGTCCCAGCTACTCGGGAGGCTGAGTCAGGAGAATGGCGTGAACCCAGGAGGCAGTGCTTACAGTGAGCGGAGATCATGCCATTACACTCCAGCCTGGGCAACACAGCGAGACTCCATCTCAAAAAAAAAAAAAGAAAAAGAAAAAGAAATGAGTCACCATCCCCAGTCAGGCGCGGTGGCTCACGCTGTAATCCCAGCACTTTGGGAGGCCGAGGTGGGTGGATCACGAGGTCAGGAGATGGAGACCATCTTGGCCAACATAGTGAAACCCCGTCTCTACTAAAACACAAAAAATTAGCTGGGGGTGGTGGCACGTGCCTGTAATCCTAGCTACTTTGGAGGCTGAGGCAGGGGAATTGCGAGACTCTGTCTCAAAAGAAAAGAGAAAAGGAAGAAATGAGTCACCATCCCAATGCAGTCTTCAGTTAAAATTGTTACTGTCTTGTGGCTGGATGTTCACATGTGACACTCACATTTCCAACTCTGGACTGCATCTATATTTTAGATTTGGGACCTCTCCAGTGGGTTTCATCAATGTGTTAGGGTGAGAATCCCAGGGGTTGCTGTGCATGTGAGAAGCACAATTTCATCTGTGCTTTGCACCTTTTGATGACACTGTGTGGACTACCGGAGGGCTTTCTATTATATGCAAGACAGTGGTAATCCTCTATGACCTTTGTGTGAAGAAGAGATTCAGAATGCTACCCAGTTTTTAAAGCCTACTTATGAAAGACAGTATCTCCTCTATTTGCCGGTTTGAGGTATGAGAGTCCTCATCACACCTATCAAGTTTGCCAAGGTATATTCAAAATCCCAACTGTCCACGGAGAGCCAACAGAAGAGTCACATCACCTCAGTGATAGGCCAGGGATATGTCACAATCTTTCCAGAGGGCAGGGGTGAGGCAGGAGGGGTCACATTACCTGGGTGCTCAACCAGGGATATGTTACAATTTCCTCCTGAAAGCAAGTCACATGAAGCAGAGTCCCATCACATGAAGCAGAGTCCCATCACATGAAGCAGAGTCCCATCACCAGTGTGATTGGCTCAGGAGTATGTCACAATGCTCTCTGTTGGCAAGTCACAAGCAGGAGTGACACATACCTGGTTGCTGAGCCCAGTGATATGTGACAATCTTCCTTTTGGGCAGAGTGAAGGTAGAAAAGAAGAGTCACATCTCCCAGATGATTGATGCAAAATTATGTCACAGGGCAACTGTGAGCCAGGCCCAGGCAAGAGCCTCCAACTGCCTAGGTGTTAAGCTCAGCAGTACGTCACACTACCAAAAATTCTAAGTCCCAATCATAAGAGGAGAGTCACATCACCTAGGTGCTGGGTTCAGTGAAATGTCACAACCCCTTTTGGCAGGACAAAAGCAAAGAGTCACATCATGTAGGTGATGAATAGAAAGATATATTATAACCCTGAGGGCAAATGGGGCTGTGCTGGAGGGCAAAATCACCTAGGTGCTGGACCCAGAAATACATCACAGTACACAATATATGCACGGCCCATGCAGAATAGGAGAGTCATATTACCTAGGTGCTAGATATAGGCATATATCATAATATTCCCTGAGTGAAGGCCCAGGAAATAGAGTCACATCACCTAGGTGACGGGCCCAGAGATATGTCACAATGCCCATTGTGGATAGGGCTCAGAAAAAAAGAGGAGAGTCACATAACCTAAGGGCTCAGCCCAGCTGTATTTCACAATCACCTCCATGGGCAAGGGTCAGGAAAAAAAAAATTGTATCATTTAGGTGATGGGCTCAAAAATATGTCATAATTACTTCTTTGGGAAGAAATCAGAATAATTACATTTGTGTGCTGGTTCAGGCAATAAGTCACTCTCCATCTCTGGTCATGGCTCAGGCAGGAGAAGAGTCAAATCACCTAGGTGCTGGGCCCAAAGATATGTCAAAATCTCTTTTATTAAAAAAACTCAGATAAGAGTACAGTCACATCAAATAGTTGATGGGCCCAGAGATATGTCACGATGTCTTCTGTGGGTAGGTTTTAGTAGGAAGACTTAACATAACCTTGGTTCTGGGCCCAGCAGTATGTTATAATGTCTTCTGAGAGCAAGGCCAAGTCAAAAAAGTAATGCCACCTTGAAGTTGGGCCCAGCATTATGTTACAATCTTTTCTACAGGCAGAACCTAAGAAGACAAAACTTACATTAGCTAGGTGCTGGACTTAGCAATACATCAAAATCCCCCCTGTGAGCAGAGACCTGGCAAGAAGAGAGTCAAATCACCAGAATGATGAGTGCAGAGATATTTCACAATGCCCCCTGGACTTAAGGCAGGACTCAAGCAGGAGGGTTACATCACCTAGGTGTTGGACCCAGCAATATGTCACAATAATCCATGTGGGCAGGGCACAGACAGGAGAGTCACAGAACCTGGGTGCAGAGATTAGTGATATGTTACAGTGTGTTTTGGGGGCAGCCCCAAAGCAGGGGAGTAGGCTCACATCACCTGGGTGCAAGTCCCAGCAACATGTCACAAAGCCCCCTATCGGCAGCACCAAGGCAGACAAATGGAGTCACATTACTTAAATGCTAGGTCCAGTGATGTCACAGTCCCATCTGTTGTCTGGTCCCAGGCAGAAGAGTCAAATCAGGTGATGGGCAGAGGCATATGTCACAGTTGCATCTGCACAAAGGTCCACAGATGAGATTAACACTCCCAGACACATCCCAGTTTTCAATATGAGAGTAAACACCACCTGTATGTTGAGACTAAGTACAGGAGTCACAGTTTCAGTGGTGAACTGCTTCTGTAAATTAGTGCCTCAATTTTTTTGTGCAGACTGTTTTAGTGGACTCACAGGCTCACAAGTGTGCTGAATGTTGGTCTCTGGGACACCAACCCACCTATGGATAAAATCCATGCACGAGAGTCAATTTTCCAACTTCTGACTCTTTCTGGGTGTCAGATTCCAAACCTCAACAGGGGGCTGCATTCATGTGTGAGGATAACAATCTTTACTGTTGGCTGGGTGTGCATACAAGTGTCACAATGTTGCCTCTGTGTGGGGCCATGTTAAGACACCATCTGTATTATCTGAGGGTTTTATATGGTATGCATGAGAGTTGGAAATCCACTGAGACCTTCTTGCTGGTATAGACCCATGTTTGAACCTGTAGCACTAAGCCCAAGTATGACAGTCAACATCTCTCCAAATGGTTGGGTCCAGATATGAGAGGCCTTGCCTGCCCCTATGATCTAGAAATGAGTCACCATCCCAACTTTAGCCAGATGATTACATATGACATCACTATTCCAACTATGGACTGTGCCCAGGTGTGAGATTAAGGACCTCACCAGTGGGTTCTTTCCATGTTTAAAGGGTGACAATCCTAGCACTTGGTGGAGAGTGCATACAAAAACCACAGTCTCATATTTTTGCTGGGCTCTGTGATAACATTCTCCGAACCAAATGAAGGTTTTATACAACATGCAAAAGAGTGGTAATCCTCTATGACCTTAGTATAGAGAGAAGACCCAGAATCTTACCCATTTCCTTAAGGTTACCTAACATACATGGTATCACTCTTATTGGCTGGCTCAAGATACGACAGTCCTCATTGCATATGTGAGCTGGGCTAAGATGTGTTTCACAATCCCATCCGTGAGCATGGAGCAAGCAGAGAGCCACATCGACTGCCTCTCTGCCAGGGATATGTCACAATCTTCCATGAAAGCATGGACCCAGCTGGAGAGTCCCATCACCCAGGTGCCTGGCCAAAGATATGTTACGATACCCTTCTGAGAGCAGGGAACTGGCAAAAGAGTCAAATCCCCTGGGCACTGGGCCCAGCAATATATTCCAGTGCTCCCTGTGGGCAAGGCCAAATGAGAAGAGACACATCACCTGGTTTGCTGGGCTCTGTGATATATTGCAATTTTCCATTTGGGCAGGGTGCAAGAAAAAGAGGGAAATCACAGCCCCAAAGTGAAAGATGCAGACATATGTCACAAGGGCTACTGTAGACAGGGCCCAGAAAAGTCTCTCATCCCTTGGGTGTTGAGCTCAGCAGTACGTCACAATACCCAAAATATGCAGGCTCCAGGCAAAAAAAAAAAGCACCAAGGTGCTGGATCCAGTGCTATGTCACAATTCTCTTTTTGGTTAGGGTCCAGGCAAATAAAGACAGTCACTTTGCCTAGGTGATAAATAAAAGGATATGTCATAACACCCCTTTGGGCAGGGCCCATATAGAAGAATCTTATTACCTAGCTGCTAGACTCAGCAATACATCACAATTTCACTCTGAGCAGAGCACTAGCAATAGAGGAGAGACACACCACTTAGGTGGAAGGTCAAGAGATATTTTACTATCTTTCTTTTGGGCAAAGCCCACATCAGAGAGGAGAGTTCTCATCAAATACTTGATGAACGCAGAGATATGTCACAAACCCCTAAGAATAAAACCCAGGCAGAAGAGCCACATCACCTGGGTGCTGGGTTCAGCAATACGTCACAACCAGGCAGGAAAGTCACAATTACTTGGATGCTAGGTCCAGCAATATGTCACAATGTCCCTTGTGGACTAGGCCCAGGCAGGAGAAGAGTCACATCACCTAGGTACTGGACCAGGTAATTATGTCACAATCCTCCCAGAAAGCAGGGCAAAACAGGACAGTCAAATCACTTAGTTGCTGGGTCCAGTAATATACTGTAATATCTCCTGAGGGCAAGGCCCAGGCAGAAGAGGAGTTACATCATGTAGATACTGGGTCCCACCATATGTCACATCTATTCTGTGGGCAGAATATAGGAAAAATGGAAGAGTCACATCAAAGGGGTGCTGGGCCAGTAATAGTTCCAAATCTCTTCTGAGCAAAAACAAGGCAATAAAAGAGAATCACATCACCTGAGTGATAGGCATAGAGATAAGTCACAATGCCCCCTGTAGGCAGGTCTCAAAGAAGAGAGTTACATCCCCTGGGTGATAGACTTACCAATCTGTCACAATGCCTCTGTGGACAGGGTCCTTGCACGAAAGTCGCATTACCTGAACGTTGAACCCAGCGATATATCCCAGGCAAGACAGGAGAGTTAAATCACTTTGGTTGGCCGGGCGTGGTGGCTCACGCCTGTAATCCCAGCACTTTGGGAGGCCGAGGCAGGGAGGCCTATCCCATCACTCTAAGATGGGAGTTCGAGATCAGCCTGGAAAACACGGCAAAACCCCATCTCTACTAAAAATACAAAACATTAGCCAGGCATGGTGATGGGCACCTGTAATCCCAGCTACTCAGGAGACTGAGACAGGAGAATTACTTGAACCTGGGAGGCAAAGGTGGCAGTGAGTTGAGATTGCACCACTGCACTCCAGCCTGGGCAACAAAGGGACACTACATTAAAAAACAAAACACACACACACACACACACACACACACACACTTAGGTGTTGCATCTAGATGCATGTCACAATGTTACCAGTAGACAGGGTTTTTTTTTAAAAAAAAAAAAAAGGCCCACCTGGCAATGCCCACAGAGCAGGCAGAAGGCTTGTACAATGGCTTCCTGGAGCAGCTGCATAAGATATACAGGCAAGTTTGGGGCCCACATGCAGGTGCACATTCAGAATCCAGGGCCTGTGACCATAGACCTGGAATCATCAGCTCCCCGTGCTGCTACCTCTGACCCAAAGCAGCTGTCAAAGCTTGAAAAAGAGCAGCAGAGAAAAGAGCAGAGCTAAGGTACCTTCTGAATCAAGCCAGGAGAGAAACACACCCCAAAAAGAAAACTGCAGTGCCAGTAGCAGGGCTGAGGGCAGTCGGGCCTAGGGCAACATGTCCTCTGAACAAGAGCCATAGGCTTGGGAGGCAGAGTTCAGTGTGTTATCACCGGGCAGAATTGGATCTTGAAAAATTCAAGATGGTAAGTACCCACACTGCTTTAAGAATTTGGAACTGAAACATAAAGAGGAAGACAGAAATAAGAAGTTGGGAACCCGAATAGCTCTGCAAAAAGCAGCAAAAGACCATTTTACCATTTTCTGTTGTTGCTGTGGTGGAATAAGGCATGGACACTGCCAGTGTTGGGGAGTCCCTGTGGTAGAAGGAGTACACTCATGCCTCCCCCACAGAAAGGCCGTATTGGTTTCTACTGCGTCTTGGCTTGCTTTTGGAACAGGCTGGCCCAACATCATTTGTCATCAAACCCATTGTAGTTTATTCTGCTTGTCCATGGGGTAGTCTCCAACAGACTCACGCTGTCCATGTTCTTTCTATCAGGGCCTGTGTTAAGGTGTCAAGATAGCAATCATCAATAGGCTGGGCTCTGTGGCTCATGCCTGTAACCCCAGCACTTTGGGAGGCCAAGGCGGGCAGATCACCTGAGGTCAGGAGTTTGAGACCAGCCTGGCCAACATGGTGAAACTCCGTCTCTATTAAATACAAAAATTAGCCAGGCTGTGGTGGTGGGTGCCTGTAATCCCAGCTACTCAGAAGGCTGAGGTGTGAGATCTGCTTGAGCCCAGGAGGCGGAGGTTGCAGTGAGCTGAGATCCTGCCACGGCACTCCAGCCTGGACGACAGAGGGAGACCCTGTCTCAAACAAACAAACAAAAAAGACAGCAATCATCAGTGATAATGTATTGTGAGACCTTTGTATCTTGTAAATTCTTATTTAAAAAATAAATAATAATTAGACCCTAAATCTCAACAAACCACAAAAAAAGGAAAAGTGACATTAATCTGATTGTCAGCTCAGCATTATGTCACAATGAGCTTAGAAAATAAGATCCAGGCAGAAGAGTCACATCACGTAGGGGGCTGACATCAGCAATCTGTCACAATCATTCCTGTGGCCAGGGCCCATGCAGGAGAGTTGTATTACCTGCGTGCTGGGCCCAGTGACAGATCACAATTCCTTCTGTAGAAAGAAGCCAAGCGGTAGAGGAGAGTGACATCACACAGGTATTGGGTCAAGCAAATTCTCACAATACTCCCTGAGGAGGTCCCAGGTAGGAGGGTCACCTCATCCACGTGAGAAAAGCAGAGATATGTCACAATGCCTTCTGTTTATAGGGCTTAAATCAAGGCAGAGAGTCACATAACTTAGAAGCTGGTTTCAGCAATATGTTACAATTGCTTTATGGGGCAGGGTCCAGGCATGAGAAAAGGGTCACACCATTTAGGTGCTTGATCAAGCAGTATGTCACAATCCCCATCATGGACAGGGCCTAGGCAGAGAAGGAGAGTCACATCAACTAGGTGATGGTCCCAGAAACATGTCACAATGAGCCCTGTGAGCAGAGCCCAGGTCAGAGAAGAGTCATATCAAACAGTTAATGGGCCCAGAGATATGTTACAATGCCCTATGTGGGTAGGGTCCAGAGAGGATACTTACATTCCCTTGAAGCTGGGACCACCAACATATCACAATGCCTTCTGGGGGCAGTGCCAAGGCAAAAGAGTAATATCACCGTGGTGCTGCAACCAGCAATATGTCACAATCTTCTCTGCAGGCAGAATCTAGGAAGAAAAAAAGAGTCACATCAGCTAGGTGCTGAGCTCAGTGATATGTCACAATCACCTTTTAGAACACGGAATTGTCAGAAGAGAGTTACATCACCTTGGTGATGTTTGCAGAGGTGTGTCACAATGCCCTCTGCAGGCTGGGGCAAGGCAAAAGAGTTAAATCACCTGGGTTTTGGAGTCAGCAATATGTCACAATGGCCACTATGAGCAGGGCCCAGGAGTGGAGAGTTACACAATGTGGGTTATAGGTGTGGAGCCCAGTGATACATCACAATGCCCCCTATAAGCAGTGCCAAGGCAGGAGGACAGAGTGATATCACCTGAGTTTAAGGACAAGCAATATATCATATGCCCCCTTTAGACAGTGCCAAGGCAGGAGAAGAGAGTCACATTACCTAGTTGTGGGGTCTAGTGACATGTCACAATCCCATAGGTGGGCTGTCTGAGGCAGAAAAGTCAAATAAGTCAAAGGCTGGGCAGAGGTTTATTTCTCAGTCACACCTGCAGGGAAGTCCAGGGATAAAATGAACAATCCTGTACATTTCCCAGTTATAGGTATGAGAGGTAACACTTCCTGTATGTTGGGTCTCAGTATATGACTCACAATCTCAACAGTGGACTGGAACCAAGCATGACAGCCTCAGTCCCTCTTGCAGACTGTGTACCCTTAGTGAAGTCACAGCCTCACAGCTGTGCTGAATCTTGGTCTGAGAGTCACCAACCCACCTGTGGACCGGATTCACCTATGAGAGGCAATTTTCCAACTTTTGACAACTTCCTCATGTGAGATACAGAGCCTCAGTGGTGGACTGTGTTACTGTTAAAGAATGACAATCTTTACTGTCATCTGGGTGTGCAACAGTCACAATATCACCTCTGTGCCATATTTCATTCGGTGTCAACATTTAGCATAAAAATTATAAAACTATAAACCCAGCTCAAGGTAGAATAATCTTTTTGTGATTTTTAATAAATGAGACATTTAATATGGTGTATTAAAAAAGCTACACATTTTGAGTTATCAACAAAATGTCCATGTATTTAACTTAAAGGTTTTTACATAAACACCTAATGTTCTCAAGCTTTAAAATGGTTAACAAATAATGTTAAATTACCTTTGTGTAGTATCTCAGCTTTCAGAAGTAGTCTAAATAAATGGCTAAAAATGAAAACATTGGGTACATAGATAAGATACAAAGTAGTATTTTGAAAATCTATTTCGAAATTGTGGAATGGTCCTCATCTATGAAATGCTCACATCTGATGGGCAGTTCAAACATTTTTGCTCCATAGGTTTATATTAAATGTGCCAAAAACATGGGTTCTCATTGAAAAATGAATAATTTTGTCTAATTCAAGAGTTATCTAAAAGTTAACTCAAATTACGAATTTAAAAAGATTATTGTATTCATGCAATTCTCTGTATTGCCTGAAAAATCCTTGTGCTGTTAAGTTCCAGGGATTCAACTCTTGGGTCTAAAAAGTGCACATAATTATTTCACATATATATATAAACCCATATGTATACATACATATATACATATACATGTATACACACACACACATATATACATATACAGACATACATACACATATATACATATATTTGCATATATATACATATTCACACATATATACACATTCATACATACACATATACATATTTATACATATGTACGTCTGTGTGTGTATATATATATAATTTGAGACAGTCTCACTCTGTCACCCAGGCTGGAGTCCAGTGGCGTGATCTCAGCTCACTGCAACTTCTGCCTCCCTAGTAGCTGGGACTATAGGCATGTGCCACCATGCCCAGCTAATTTTTGCATTTTTAATAGAGACAAGGTTTCACCATGTTGGCCAGGCTCATCTCAAACTCCTGACATCAGGTAATTCACCCTCCTTGGCCTCCCAAAGTCCTGGGAATTACAGGCATGAGCCACCGAGCTCAGCCTAATTTTGTATTTTTAGTATAGATGGGGTTTCACCATGTTGGCCAGGCTGGTCTCGAACTCCTGACCTCAAGTGATCCGCCCACCTCAGCCTCTCAAAGTGCTGGAATTACAGGCACGAGCCACCACACCTGGCCAGTTCTATTTCTTTAAGCCTATACATTTGCACTTGTTGAAAGTATTTGAACATACAATTATACAGCTTCATGCTTTCACTGAGTCTTCATAATGTAGCACTTTAATGATGTAAGCAAGCCAGGAGCTTTGAGCTTTCTGTGCCAGGTAAGGATGCTAAGCCCAGAGAGAAAGAGGCCAAGGCTAGGGTTTGGGGACAGGCAGAACCTGGGTTCATCTGGGTCATGGAGGTTTGCTTGAAGCAGGAATAGGCAGGATTCAGTCAAAATGGTGACTATTAAAAAGTCAAGAAATAAAAGATGCTGGTGAGGCTGTAGAGAAATAGGAATGCTTTTACACTATTGGTGGGAGTGTAAATTAGTTCAACCATTGTGGAAGACAGTGTGATGATTCCTCAAGGATCTAGAACCAGAAATACCATTTGACCCAGCAATCCCATTACTGGATATATACTCAAAAGGAATATAAATGATTCTAATATAAAGATACATGCACATGTATGTTTATTGCAGCACTATTTACAATAGCAAAGACATGGAACCAACCCAATGCCCATCAATGATAGACTGGCGGCCAGGCGCGGTGGCTCAAGCCTGTAATCCCAGCACTGTGGGAGGCCGAGACGGGCGGATCACGAGGTCAGGAGATCGAGACCATCCTGGCTAACCCGGTGAAACCCCGTCTCTACTAAAAAAAATACAAAAAACTAGCCGGGCGAGGTGGCAGGCGCCTGTAGTCCCAGCTACTGGGGGGGCTGAGGCAGGAGAATGGTGTGAACCCGGGAGGCGGAGCTTGCAGTGAGCTGAGATCTGGCCACTGCACTCCAGCCTGGGCGACACAGCGAGACTGTCTCAAAAAAAAAAAAAAAAAAAAATAGACTGGATAAAGAAAATGATACATATACACCATAGAATACTATGTAGCCATAAAAATGAGCTCATGTTTGTTTTTTGCAGGGACATGGATGAATCTGGAAGCCATCATCCTCAGCAAACAAAACACTGCATGTTCTCACTCATAAGTGGGAGTTGAATAGTGAGAACACATGGACACAGGGAGGAGAACGACAAACACCAGAGCCTGTCAGGGGAGTCAGGGGCAATGAGAGGAAGAGCATTAGGACAAATACCTAAGGCATGTAGGGCTTAAAACCTAGTTGATGGGTTGATCAGTGCACCAAAGCACCATGGCACATGTATACCTATGTAACAAACCTGCACATTCTGCACATGTATCCAGGAACTTAAAGTAAAATAAGATTTAAAACAAAAAGAAAATGCACTAAGGCCACGAGAAACATCTACTGCCAGGTCAAGGCTGACCACTCTAATTCTGGTGAACACAGAACTAAAGATAAAGTAGCTTCAGCTTAAAAGCTCTCCAACAAGCTTTTGACAACTTCCTCATGTGAGATTCAGAGCCTCAGTGGTGGGCTGTGTTACTGTTAAATTTGAAAGTGCCAGAAATTTTTCTTTACAGCTTTCATCAATTTATGCTATTTTTTTGAAAATGTGACATAGGAATACCATATCATATTTATGTGGGATTTTTTGGCTGGAAAAGTGAACCTTTGGGGTAAAAAAGAAAAGCCAAGAGCAGTTACTTTGACTATGATATTAAAAGCACATTTCAGTTTATTTTGGAAGTTTTACTCTACGGATTTAGATACAGCAATAAAAATGTAGATAGACTAAAAATACCAACACACAGGGTTATATAAATGTCTATTATGTCCTGTAATAAAGCCTTGAAATAAAACTGAGTCAGATGTGAATTCTCTACTCATCCCAGCCACTCAGTACTTGTAAATCCAACCAGCTAATTAGCTCAGGTCAGTTGGTTTTTCTTTGAGTGGGGGTGGAGGACGGGGAAGGGAACGGAGTCTCCCTCTGTCTCCAAGGCTAGAGTGCAGTGGTGTGATCTCAGCTCACTACAACCTCCACTTCCCGGGTTCAAGCGATTCTCCTGCCTCAGCCTCCTGAGTAGCTGGGATTACAGGCATGGGCCACCACACCTGACTAATTTTTGTATTTTTAGTAGAGATGGGGTTTCACCACGTTGGCCAGCTGGTCTCAAACTCCTGACATCAGGTGATCCACCCGCCTAGGCCTCACAAAGCACTGGAATTACAGGAGTGAGCCACCGCGCCCGGCCAGGACAGTTTTTTTTAAATTAGCAAATTATCTCAGCCCAGGTAATTCCAATCAGCAAATTATAAAATTTAATTACAAATTATAATTTATAAAAATTATAAATTATAAAAATAGGTTCTTTCAGGCGGGGCGAGGGGGCTCATGCCTGTAATCCCAGCACTTTGGGGGGCCGAGGTGGGCAGATCACGAGGTCGGGAGGTCAAGACCAGACTAGCCAAAGTGCACAACCCCGTCTCTACTAAAAAAAAAAAAAAAAAAAAAAAAAAAAATTAGCTGGGTGTGGTGGCGGGCACCTGTAATCCCAGGGACTCAAGAGGCTGAGGCAGGAGCATGGCTTGAACCCAGGAAGCAGAGGTTGCAGTGAGCTGAAACCGCACCATTGCCCTCCAGCCTGGGTGACAGAACGAGACTCAGTCTCAAAAAAAACAAAAAATTAGGTTCTTTCCCCCCACCCCCCCCCAGAGCAGGAGTGGGCAAGAAGGAAAGTGCACTTGGGAGAAACCCAAGTAGGCACCTGACCTTTTTTTTGTTGTTGTTGTTTTCTTGAGACAGTCTCGCTCTGTCACCCAGGCGGAGTGCAGTGGCCGGATCTCGGCTTCACTGCAAGCTCCGCCTCCCGGGTTCACGCCATTCTCCTGCCTCAGCCTCCCGAGTAGCTGGGACTACAGGCGCCCGCCACCTCGCCCGGCTAGTTTTTTTGTATTTTTGTAGTAGAGACGGGGTTTCACTGTGTTAGCCAGGATGGTCTCGATCT